CACACACACACACATATATATATATATATATACACACACACACACACACGTACGTATATCTTTTGTTGATTTTGATTGCTTCTATTGTCCTCATTTGTAAGTCGCTTTGGATAAAAGCGTCTGCTAAATGTCTAAATGTGAAATGTTCTAATTAAGATGAATATTTTTTGGTTCTGAAAGTAAAAATTTCATTCATTGTCTCATTGAGAAATTGGCACGGGTTAGTATGATTTCAAATTTTGTATTAAGTATAACTTCAACATTTTTATGAAACCGTTTAATAGCCAAATTCCCGTTGAGGAACTGAACTACCCATAATCCTGATGAAAGATCCACCAATCAGAGAAGTCACCGTTACCATGGAGATGAGAATCTTGCCCACTCCCATGAGGCACTGCGAATGACGTAATAACACTGATCTCCATTCAGCCTATAAATCTCACAAACATGGTATAATGTTTTCATGCTTAATGACTAAAGATCAGTAGTTCTATATTGTGCTGCTGTTTCTGATTGTCATACTTCATGGGATTCATAAATTCCCTTGTGAAACAGTTTTCTCTATTCTCAATTCCTTTTTGCTTTAAATCAGTGCGTGTTCATCTGAGAGCGGGTTGGTTTGCTTCATGACTCGGAACTCTTTATTTAAAGATGTTTTAAGAAAGTGAATGAGAATAATACTCATTTCAGCCTCTGATGAATGCTACTAAATGATGGGTTTACAGACTATTGGCTATTAAAAAAGGAACAGGCATTTCAAAATGTTCCACTTTAACTTCCCATTTCAGTAAGAAATCACAAGCACGGGGAAATGCATTTGTCAAATCATTTGCAGTACTCCGCTCTAAATCAGCTTTATTTCATGCTGCTTCTGATGCTCGTTCTGCAGCGATGGATAAATCTGGCCCCAGCTGGTCTCTCACTGCCTTTTCTCTGCTTTATCAGTCTCAATTAAAGCTGTATTTGATGTGCAATGACGAGGGAACATAATTACTTTTCCTTTGAGACATTAATACTGAACAGGCTGCAATCATGTGTTAATGAATGGACCCTTTTCACAGACTGTGATGCAGTTATTAACAACAAAATCATTATTTACAAAACTATACTTGGTGTTTTCTTGCATTACAGAAAACTAGTTAACACTTTCAGTGAGTGTTTCTAATACAACACTAACGGCATTTGACATTTATCTCTTGACCAATGATATCAATCTTTTTCAATATCAATTTCTCAATTTTTTTTTCTCTTTTGGAAAGCCACAGAAATGTTAGGTTTTTCTCATTACACTGCAAAAATGATTTACTCGCGCTGTATTTTTGTCTTGTTTTCTAGTACAAATATCTACGCGTTCATAAAGCAAGATATATTTACCTGAAGTAAAATGACATATGTGAAGTCTTGTTTTCTGAAAAAATTATCAATTTATAAAATATATCAGCCAAAGGGGTCAGAAAAATAAAATGAAAAACCTAATTCAAAATATTTTCCGACCCCAGTGGCAGATATTTTTTTTCTTGTTTTAAGCAAAAACTCACTTAATTTTGATGTTTCAGAAACTTAATCTTATGGCACTTTGCTTCAAGTAAATATATTTTGATTTAAGAATGTTTGGGTAACGCTTTCTATGAAGCCTGTATTTATAATACACTATAAGGGTATTCTTAAGGCCTTATAATCGTTGCAAAGCATATCTGATCTTATGGCTGTTTGAGAAAAATTTATATTTATAAGTGGTCTTTCTCTGCTCTAAGCAAAGTGAAGTTACTATTAAAAAAGAGACCACATTATAAAGCCTTTTGGATGTTTTCATGAAGACTTTGTACAGTAAAAACATTAAAACGTATTAAGTTATTGTTCAGATCTTAAACCATGGCAAGATATGAGACTTAATACATTGTAACTATGAGAAATATAATCCGTGGTAACTTAAGCTACAATGTAAGTGGATGCAACATGTTCATTTTGTTATAAATAAACTCTTAAAGGGGTCATATGATGCGAAAAAAATTTTCCACATTTTTTGAGCCTTAAACCGCGTAAATGCATTGCATTACACCAAATACACCAAATAATGTTGTTTTTAGCATCGTCATATGACCACTTTAAAAGCTATAACCACAAATAAGTATTATAATATTATATATTATAATAATGTTCCTATGATTATTTATGAGATGCAACATGAGATTTTGTATAATGCATTCATTCATTATAATGCCTTAAGAATACCCTTATAATGTATTATAAATACAGGCTTCATAGAAAGTGTTACTGGAAAACAAGACAAAAACACTAAGAAACCCATTTTTTTTTGCAGTGTATTGGGGCAAATAGAAACAATATTATTTGTTGTAGCTTGCATTGATGAAAAGGTACTGTAACATAGTACACTGATATTATATGGTATGAATGTACCATGGTATTTGCAAGGTACTTCAAAAGATACCATGGTACATGTCCAAAAAAAAATCAATATTTCCATCATTACCATGGTACTATTTATGTGGTAACACTTATTTTAAGGTGTCTTTTGTTACACATTACATGCACTTACTATTATAATAACAATTATGCATAATTACATGCAAGTACACCAACTCTAATCCTAACTTTATAGTAAGTTCATGTAGTTTACAACTGGTGCCGGAAATCTTAGTTTTATTTGCTTTAACTTCGTCCATTTGGTTTCTGCCGTCAAACGTGCTTCTCATTTTAGTGATTTGCGGATAAGATGGGATGAGTTTTGTTTTGTTAGTTTCTCTGTTCTTCGGTTGAGTCCTCTCTGTTGAAAGTGTTTGAGGTTTCTGTCCTGAGCACAAATGCCTCGTATCTGCCTTCAATCTGGGTTGAGGCAATGCACCGTCTGCTTCCTTACTGTACAAATAAATCACTACAATCGCAGCTATCTGGGGTATTGCTCATTTCTTCAGATTGCTTTTGGCCGTTTTGTTTTGCATTTCATTTGCTGGTTCTCTGCTGCTTCAAAAATGCTCTGCAATGCACAAAACAATTATTAATATTGCGATGATCTGCATACGCCCAACAATATGCAGAAGTATTAACTGAAAGGGAAAAATGGCACTGATGGTTATGTAAATGCATTAACAGCAGAAGTGTGATTTTACCAGTCTAACACACTGAACAAACACCGTTTGGGCTAAATATTGTCTTCACATTAGCCATATTATCAAGTGACGGATTAATTAGTGCCAAGAGTTTGACTCCAGCCTTCTGAAAAGGATTCTGAGTTCGGATTAGATCACAAAATCCAGTCTTGGTTTTGATCTGGATTAAATCCTCAGTTTGTGTTGTTCAAAACATTTTGGGATACTTTTGATCCAAAAACTGGATTATTCTGATCCCAGCAGAAGAGTGGATTTCGGGAACAAAAATGTAACTTTAAAACCGGTCCAAAAAATACAACATTTGTAACATGTAATATATCCCCAAACTGCTGTCGATATCAATCAAAAATGTTTTATTTAAAGTGTTTTTTTTTTAATCAATGATTGTAAACTACATTGGCACAATCATGAGAGATGGTAGTTATTTGTGCAAATGCAAAACTAGAATGCAAAACATTGGCATCATCCATCATGTCCCTTGAGGGGCTCCGTAGAGCACTAGTAATCCAGATTTGGAAATCTGAAAAAGTGTGTATCTGGATCAGGGTGATCCAATCCAATTTTGCTTTGAAAAACCGGCACAAAAGTAAGATGGGTTTCCTGATCCTGGATCGCAAAACATGGGATTTCCATTCTGATCCAGATTAAACTTTTGAACAACTGGCCGCAGGAAAGGTGATAATTTGCTCCCATTTCCTCGGAGATAATTTTATTTGACACAGTATGATATGTTGTAACGTTTCTTAGTAGAGTTGCACGATATTGGATTTTTGCCGATATTTTAACTCATTTTGGCCGAAGCCGATATATTTCCTTTTGTTTGGAAACAACACCAAGTCTCTCCTGTGTGGAAATTATAAGCAAATTATTTTTAATTTTGGTTAGTTTTTAACAAGAACTAATTTGTTAGAATTGAACAATAATGAAGTTCTTTTATAATGACAGTACATTGAAGCTTTGAAAATAACTATAAATAAACTATATATTAATCGCATTTTATTTTAAGATTTAACATTTGTAGATTGTCTAAAACAAGAGTTGTAAAAATTCTGAAAATCTTTTAGAGCTCCAAGTAAAAAAAAAAAATGTAACATTGCACATTAATAAATAAATCAGTGTATATATAAAATTATTGAATTTACATGCGTCATGTTTGTGATTTTTTAAATTTATTTATTTTTTAATTCATGTAAGCTATAGCTTCTGAAATTTAAATCAAAACGTACAAAACATACTTTAATAAGCAAGACATGTCGGCATTATTTTTCATATCGGGCCGATGCCGATATTTACAATTAAAGCCATTATCGGCCGATTCCGATATCGGTCCGATAACATTGTGCATCCCTACACTGAAAAAAAAATTATACTAAATTTTAAGGTAAGTGAATGCAAACAATTTATTTTAGCTACATTTAAATAGTTGAAAGTTAGTCAACTAAATTTGTTTATTTAAATGTAGTTAAAATTAATTGCAACCACTTACAATTTTATTTATTTATTTATTTTTTTTTAGTAAATTCAATTAATCATTTTTTTTTTTTGCAGTGTATTCCTTATAGCAACCGTCTGATCTCCACAGGATGCTGAGATGACTGTGAGCAACTATGTTGACTTCTGAGAACCCTGGAAATGTGAAGTGTGAATCATGGTCATACCTGAAGGAGGTTAAATGCGTCTCCGTCTCTTCCTCAGGTCAAGCACTTGACGCGGGACTGGAGAACCACGGCGTACGCCTTGCATCACTCCGAGCTGCTGGAGCTGAACGACGAGGACCGTAAGGTGCGGCGCAGGACGACGGTGCCGGTGTTCGCCAGCGAGTCTCTGCCGAGTCGCATGCTGCTGCTGAGTGAGCTCAAGCGCTGGCCGGAGCTGGGAGTCGCGCTCGGGGCCGACGGCGAGGCAGGGGCCACCCAGCAGGAGCGGCTGATGGAGCTCCTGCTCAAGGCCTTCGGAAACTACGGGCCCATCGCCTCTGTCATGTACTGTGTATTTATGTATATATATATATATATATATATATATATATATACATGCATGTGCGTGTCTTTATTAAAGAAAAATGTTGTTTATATACTGTATATATTAGATGTATATATAAAAATGATATGAATATAAATCTATACATGTAAATATATTCTAAGTATATACTGTATGTGTCTTTAAAACACATAATATACATAATAAATATACACCGTACACACACACCCTATATAAACGGAAACGTTTATTTTGGATGCAATTAATCGCGACTAATCATTGCCCAGCGTTAGTAAAAAAGACATGGAAGATAACATGTAAATATTCATGCACTGCAAAAAATGATTTTCTTACTGAGTATTTTTGTCTTGTTTTCTAGTATAAATATCAAAAAATTCTTGAATAAGGATGCATTTACTTGACAAGTAAAATGACTTAAGATATAATGTCTTTCCTGAAAAAAAAATCCAAATTTTGTTAGTTTTTGCTTAAACAAGCAAAAATATCTCTAATGGGGCAAGAAAAGTAATCCAAGACAAAAATGGTAAGAAAATATTTTTTTGCATTGCATTACCCAGTTGTATAGACCAATGTAGGGCAGACGTCACAGTTACGTCACTTGCAGCTGTGGTGGCAGAAAAACACTGGTAACAAGTCGAGGGAAATGGGGAAAATCCGTGGAATAAGAGGAAAAAATACTTTTGTGCCTTTGGATGTCAAAATCTGAATACAAATCATTTTTATAGAATACTGCCGTCAAAGACGCCATATGTAGCTAAACGCTGATGTTTAAACAGACAGACTATGGATGAAAACTGCTATGATTACTCTTATTTCAAAGCATAAATTTGATTTAAACAATAGGTCTAAATAATAATCACACATGCAGTTCATAGGGAATGTGTTGTATTTTCCCTACAGTTACAGCATGAAATGCTATTTAAACCTATCACTAATAACATTTTACATAACATTTACCTATTATATCTTACAATTCTGACTTTTTTTCTTGCAAATGCAAGTTTATATCTCCTAGTTCTGACTTTATAACTCGATTGAATGCAACAATAGTGAGTTTGTCAACACTGAGGGGGAAAAAAAGCCTGAAGTCAGGAATATAAACTATTCCTTTAAATATAAAAGTTGTTTTTCCTTATCAGAATTGTGAGATATAATCTCGGAATTGAGAAAATAGTTAAATTTACCTTTTTTTATTCTTTTATTACACTAGTCAACATTTGAAGCGTATCAAAACCTTACATCAAAGTTATCCTAAAATCAAAGTGTTTTTGTTCAACTTTGAACTTATTTGATCCACTTCAAAGGTTGACTACTGTACTTGGCTTACTTGAAAACGGTCATTTTCTGCCTCCGCCCACAAAAAAGTCATCACTGATCCAATAGAACAATTCAGTGTTTGCAAACAGTTTAAATCTAGTTTATAAAACGGATAATTCCGGTCCTTGATTCTGATTGGCTGAGCCGCGTTCGAAGCTGTTGTAAATGACTCTACAAAGTAACATACACCTTTGTTTACGTTTGTCTGTTGCTCGGCAGCCACTTTGTAGCAACCACAACTGTTTCTGAGGAGCTACATTGTTTGGTGGAAGAATACTGTTTTTATTATTACACTTTATTTGCTCTTATTTTGTGAAACCTTACTACGTATATGGAATAACCGTTTTATAAAAGCAATAAGCCCCGTGAAGCCGTGGTTTACAGTGAATATATAACAGCTCCGTGTCATATCTAACAACGCCCCTTAGCTGTTATAAATGCACTGTAAACCACGGCTTCACGGGGCTTATTGCTTTAATCAATTGACAAACTCTGGGCTTTAACACATATATCTGGCTCTAAATTTGAAGGTGGTTCTAATCGGCACCAAGCCTCCCAAGAAAAAGATCCCAAAGGACCGAGACGATGGAGTCGGTGGTGTCCGCAAGAGCCGCTCACTGAACAGCCGCGTCCGAGAGCTCCAGTATCACGGCGGAGACGACTCGGCCGCGAGTTCCTCGGAAACGGAGAGCAATCCCACCTCGCCGCGTTTGGCCCGCAAATCACGCTCCTGCAACAAGCTCAGCCCCACGAGCGGCGGGCCCAATCACCTGAGTCCGGCGGTGTCTCCGCGCTCCAGTCCGTGGAGCAGCCCACGTGCCAGCCCCTGCACCCAGCGCAAGACGCCTCTCTCGGGGAAGTCTCCGCTGGCCAGCGAGGGCCGCTTGAGCCCCGAGCCGGCTCGCCGATGGGCGGACTATTCCTCGGACAGCAGCTTGACCCCTTCGGGAAGCCCTTGGGTCCAGCGGAGGAAGCAGGTGGCCAGTCAGGAGAGCAGCCCGGTGGGAAGCCCGATGCTCGGGAGGAAGATCCAGAACGCAGATGGTCTTCCTCCAGGCGTGGTTCGACTCCCGAGGGGTCCGGATGGGACAAGAGGCTTCCACTCATCTCCCTCCGGAGAGCGAGGCAAGGCAGCATCCACGCAAACCTGTCTCTAAAGACCGTCCCTCTTGACCCTCGCACTCTCAAAGCAGTCGTGACATCTCCATAGGACTGGCCTGGTCTTTTTGTAAAACCTTTTTCTATACGCTATTTTTGTTAAACGTTTTATACATCTTAATTTCTCACTGAATGATGGCACCACCACAACAAGGGGGAAGCCGTTCTGAAAGTGTTTCTGTTTTAAATCGCCGCCATGTTTTCCGTTGTAAGGAGATTCTACCAGTGTCTGTCTCCCATGTAAATATTGTAAATGTATTCTGTGTGGGTCGTGCTTCAGGCGTTCGGATCTGATCTCAGCCTTTGTGATGACGCCGTTGCCATAATCTCGGGAGCCCAGGCACTGGAAATATATTTCGTTTTATTTGCTTTAACTTCGTCCATTTGGTTTCTGCCGTCAAACGTGTTTCTCATTTTAGTGATTTGCGGATAAGATGGGATGAGTTTTGTTTTGTTAGTTTCTCTGTTCTTCGGTTGAGTCCTCTCTGTTGAAAGTGTTTGAGGTTTCTGTCCTGAGCACAAATGCCTCGTATCTGCCTTCAATCTGGGTTGAGGCAATGCACCGTCTGCTTCCTTACTGTACAAATAAATCACTACAATCGCAGCTATCTGGGGTATTGCTCATTTCTTCAGATTGCTTTTGGCCATTTTGTTTTGCATTTCATTTGCTGGTTCTCTGCTGCTTCAAAAATGCTCTGCAATGCACAAAACAATTATTATTGCGATGATCTGCATACGCCCAACAATATGCAGAAGTATTAACTGAAAGGGAAAAATGGCACTGATGGTTATGTAAATGCATTAACAGCAGAAGTGTGATTTTTACCAGTCTAACACACTGAACAAACACCGTTTGGGCTAAATATTGTCTTCACATTAGCCATATTATCAAGTGACAGATTAATTAGTGCCAAGAGTTTGACTTCAGCCTTTTGCATCAAACACTAAACTGCATTTACACTGTTCTACACCGCTGCGTTCAGTTTGCATTTTGCATAGTTTTACCCCTGCTGAGAGCTGAAATAAATGGCTGGTCTTTCACAGAGAAGGTCAGCTGCGTTGCTCTTTCACTGAGAATCACACAGTAATCTGACGGTTTGAGTTAACGCTCGCATCAAATCCGTCAGAGCGGTTAGTGTCACCTCCTCTGAGGAACTGGATTGTAACCGAAGTGTTTTTAATCTGTGGGAAAGGTGATCATTTGCTCCCATTTCCTCGAAGATAATTTAGTTTGACACTGTAATGTTTCTTAGCAACTGTCTGATCTCCACGGGATGCTGAGATGATGGTGAGCGAATGCATGTTCCAGTTCAGTGAGATTTTGCAGGTCGGATGAGTTCAATCCTGAGTGAAATTACACCTGAGTGGAGACTCTATTCAGAATGCAGTTTGGACTCCGACTGCGCTGCAGTAGTCTCCGATAATGTGCATTAATATCAGTAAATGAGTGTGCTTTTATCTGCATGCTCACCTGAATCACACTGGGCTCAATAAGCATTTCGTCAAGCAACAATTATAGTTCATTTTCTGGGAGAGAGATACATCTGCATTTCCAATTAAGCTGGCAACATCTTTTGAGCCGATTGTCCATTCAGCAGAGAACCGAATGAAAGCGTCTCATGATTTATCCATCACAAGCAAATCCATCTCTGTAATGGCTTCTAATTTAAAACTCTTGATTTTGCTTTTTTGGCAATTATATTCTGTTCAGTCTCCGACTTCATAAAGCAATAATGTCAAAGCATTTTCTGAATTATGTGGCTCATGACTAGCAGCCAATTTAACTGGGAAAAAATTACACTGCTATGAACACGCGCTTAAATGAAGTATAATGTGATTTTCCAGAACCTTCACCGTCTCAGTTCTGATTATGTAATCCAAATTAGGTGTAATTAGTTACTCGGCACTGTTTGCAAATAGATAGGGTCATATTTGGTAGAACTGTATATATTCCTGCTGCTGCATATACTGCCTTCTGTTTTAAAAAGCAAAACAATTAATATGTACAGATGCTATATTGCTGTTGCATGACCTCATGCTACACCTAATTCAGCCGATGGCATCCAGTTATTTTGCGTTTTAAACTAAGCTTGTAACATGCAACATTTGTCAGTCTGTTGAAATAATGGAGCTGACCGCACTTCTACTGTAAATGGAAGGTCAAGTTGAATGAGTGCATTGCATTGTGGGATACAGTATGCATTGCATCGTGCGCTCATGTATACTGCACATTTTGGCAAATGTAGTGAATCAGACAGGTTCATACAGACCGAAAGCGTGCATACAGTGCACAGTACACATATTATATAGTGCAGAAACTGTATGAGTGGTAGTGCGTTAATTAAAACGTGTCCCTGCTTCATTATATAAGACTGACAACACATCAACTCAGAGGAAACAAAGACAAATGGTGAAACTGTAGCTTGTAAAACCAAACGATCTCTTCAGAGAGGTAATGAAATATAAACAGATGTCAAACACTATCGGTGAGCCTGCAGCACAAAAGCAGGCTCAAGTCGCTGGGGTATATTTGTAGCAATAGCCAACAATACATTGTATGGGTCAAAATTATCCATTTTTCTTTTATGCCAGAAATCATTAGGATATTAAGTAAAGATCATGTTCCATGAAGATATTTTGTACATTTC